ACTACTAGTAGTATTATATTAATATAGGTAACTAGGGCTTGATTATATGATACAACAACCTGCCATACAGCATGCCTAAGTCTACCTGCAGCTAAATGACAAACCGTCACAGAAACACTTTTGATTTCCTGACTCAGATATCAGGTCAAAGCTGAGTTTTAATTCAGAGAAACACCTTGAACTCAAATCCTCCAATTTTCTCTCCCATTTTTTTTAATCAACACAAAGCCTCCGTTCGATTACAACACACCGCAACAACCCTGCAGCCCACACATCACCGCAGAGTAATCAAACACAACTTGCCCCAGTGGCTTGTTTTCACAAAAAGCATACAAGCCACACAAAAAAAAGAGAAAAAAGAAAAAAAATGTCTGATTAATCCACCTCTTGAGGCAATCGCACTCCCATGAGGAGCAGAAAGGCACAAAAATTCTAAATCGCTGGCGCGCAGCAGCGTAAAAAGCACTGATAACAGCCCCAACCATAATAGGCCCAGTGATTTTTATTTGACTCCCAGTGAGCGAAATCAGCAGCTCCCGTCTGTGTCCCCACTGTGAGCAAATCACAGCCTCATTCAGGCTGCAGCCGAGGCATTAGCACCCGCAACCCGGCCTCGGCCACTTCACAGCTTTCTTTTTTTTTTTTCTTCTTGCCCCAAGGCTGTTTACAGGAACTGCCATATTTGCCCCCGCCTCAGTGGGAAATGAAAGAGGGGGCACAGGATGGAGAGGTGGGACAGATTTAAAGCAACGCTGAGACAAGCAGGACTTTTAACAGCTTGAACAGTGTTATTAGAGCTGGAGGGGTGCAGAGCTTGAATGGCATGTTATTTTCTTGTTGATATGTTGTTGGGGGGAGGAGTCGCGCCGAGTCTGAGGGCAGATTGGAGCTGCCTGAGCCGGCGCTGGGGGGAATGCGATTATGAAACTGTGATGTTATGCTGTCGTGTTAGACGTGCACGTATTGTGCGTCTGTTTCCGAAGAGACACCGGGTTTTCTCCAGAAAAAAATCTCCGAACAATCGCCCAACGCTCTGCCGTAATCTCCCTCCAAGAAGGACGCCGCTTGACTTTTTTTTTTTTTTTTTTTTTGACGTCTGACAGCGAATTTATCTGTTGCGTTTGTTGTCGGCTGGATGGAAATGGGAGGGAGGAGGGTGGAAGGAGGGAGGGAGGGAAGAGGAGGAACTGCTGAAGAGGAAAAGGGGAGGAAACTTGCCTGTCTCTGCTGTGATCCCTCTTTCTTTTTCTTGCCATGTTTGCTGGAGGGGACAAAAGAAAGACAATGTCAGGATGTCGAATCTATCTCTCCCTCCAGTGGTCACAGGGCAGCACTGCCTGCCGGCCATCACAAACCCAACATCATCTTAATCTACTGCTCCGTCTCCAGCACAGCCCCCCGGTGCCAGATGTGTTGGGATTAGAAAAGGTACGAGAGCGAGATGACGGATCCGTCAGATTATCCACTCAGAAACTGTCACTTCAACACTTTCAGTCATCGTTTTAGCAAACCAAACGCGAGCTCGTCGTCTCTTAGGTTTAAATCTGAACCAAATGTTGGGTCAACTCTACGTGGTCTTGGCCACACAGGTGTCGGTGCCAGGAATGGGCTCGGGTCTCAGCTGCAGCCCCTGACAGAGACCCCGCAGGCCGGGCACTGACCTGACGTTCAGGCTGAAGACACGGCGGGCCACCAGGAACCTCATCAGGTAGTAGATGACCACGATGAGCACCAGCAGGCCCAGGACCACGCCGATGATTGCGCCTGTGATCACACCGGCCTGGATGGGCACTRAGAAAAAACAAACAGAGGGGATTAGAGGGGAGGCAGATGCAAGCCAACGACGAAGAAAACTCACGCCTCACATTTCTCAAACACCAGCAGGCGCACGCTGGACGGGCGTCCCACTATGTCCGGGGGGTTCTTGGCRTCGCAGGTGAAGGTGCCGTTGTCGCTGAAGTCCAGGTTTTTGATCAGGATGGAGCCGTCGCGGCGATTCGGGTTCCCCACGAACTCCAGCCGGTCCCTGAAGGGGCCCTTGTTGTCGACGTAGGCCTCGCCACCGGTGTAGTGGAAGATCTGGACGAGACGACGGAGACATTGTTCCTGTTTGTGTTTTGTTCACGTCAGAAATACGCAGATTCATTTTCCACTTCTTAGATGACGTGTTCTGAACGACACATTGAATTTTAGCTCTTTATCTGTAAAATTGTTTGAGTTAAAACCTTTTTAAAGCCATGGTAAAGTAAGCTGGTTTTAAAGGTTATTCAGTTGTCTTTGTGCGTCAGATCAATCACAACATCAGCAAACTCTCTGCGAAACTCTTGAACTGATTATCGATGGAAAACATCTCAAACTTCTATACAGTAATAAAAACAATGATCCTAAATTAGAACAATATCCACTCCCACGGGTAAGACATTTAATAAAACTGCCATCAGCACAATTTCACTTTGATTTGATGCATTTAAATCAATAAGCATCACGATTCATTTTTTTTTTCTGTTTACACTTTCCCATTGATAAAAAGCCCTGTTTGATGAGGCAGGTTCCACAACCATGATAACTAAAAACACTGTACTGTTCATGGATCCAATGTGTTTTAGAGCAGAATATTCATTTTTGGTGCAAATTTATGTTTTCACTCTGCTAAATTTAAAGGCATACGTTTTAATTACCACTCTGCAACAAGACTGGGCAAACTTTTTACACCAAAGCTTTCGATAAAAACCAAGGCCGACTTTATTCCATCAGTTTTAAGACCATGGCAGACAGGGTTTAAGTTGTTATAAATATAACCCGAATTACAAAATAGTTGAGAAAAACGTGTAAAGTGTAAATAAAAACATAAAGTAATGATTTAAAAGAGAAAGGGGTCTCTGCAGTTTCTTGTGTGGGCGGAGTTTGTAATAAACATGATTGGTCAGATTGACTTAAAGGGCAAGTTAAAAGATGAAGTAATGGTAAAATTATTGTGAACATGTAAATATACCTTCTTGACTCACAACTTCCTGTGTGGATATGTGACTAATAATAAAATTCAGGTGATCTTTTTCCAGCCGGGTTTAATTCGACTTGGTTTTGATCGAGCCAAATTGTTACACATCTCACCACATRAAYGACGTTCAAATTTCGATCGACCAGCACCTCAGTATAAACAGGTTTTAGAACAACATTATGCTCCTGTTCATATTTTACAGGGCAGGTCTGCAGCGCTGAACCAAACACTGGGCTCTTTACAGCAACATCATGACTTCATGGTAAAAGAGTCCGAGTGCTGAACTGACCCGTCTGCAGTCCAGACCTCTCATCAACTGAAAACACAAGTAAAGTAGGTCCTCTGGACGGGTTCTTSTTTAATGAAAGGTTTCATCTCTCCTCCAAGAGACTTCTTCAGTCTGAKGAGTTTCAGGTGAACTCAGCCTTATAAGCACTGCCTCCACATGGACAAACAGGTTAGTCACATGCAAAAGAGGGCCATCAACCAAACAATAGGTCGTTAGTGCCCTGATCATCACCTATTGTGCATAGAGGGTCATGTGCCTCATCACCTGACCATCATAGGGGCCCTGATTCACACCTATTGTTCTTAGGGGGCGGAGTCATACTTGCAATAACAGCATTGTTGGAGGAGGACAACTGGACATGAAGGCCTCCACCTCTGTTTACTGGTGGACAGTTTTTCTTCTTTTCAAACCAACGTTCCTCTCTATCAAGGACGAGAACATCTTCATCCCTGAAAGAGTGACCGCTGGCCTGTAGATGAGTGTAAACTGTAGAGTCCTGTCCTGTAGATGAGTGTAAACTGCAGAGTCCTGGCCTGTAGATGAGTGTAAACTGCAGAATCTTGGCCTGTAGATGAGTGTAAACGGCAGAGTCCTGCCTGTAGATGAGTGTAAACTGCAGAGTCCTGGCCTGTAGATGAGTGTAAACTGCAGAGACCTGGCCTGTAGGTGAGTGTAAACTGCAGAGTCCTGGCCTGATGATGCTGTTTGTCTGTGTTGGTCCATTCTTTAGAACACTGTTCATAAGAATGGGCCAACACAGAAGAAGTCTCTTGGAGGAGAGACAAAACTTTTCATTACAGAAGCATCCAGAGGACGGACTTAAACATTTTTTGGATTTCTTAGACAATTTATCGTCCAGCTGTTGTAGTTGCTGCAATTAAAAGCAAAACGACCTTGTTTTTTAGTATTTCCTTCAGTAAAGTTTTCTTACAGTAGTTCATTTATTTTTTTAACCTCTGATTTTGGTCATTTWATTAGAAAAAAGTCAACTGTTTTTAGATTTATATTCACTTTTGCAGGATTTGAACAAATTAAAAAAAAGAGGCAAATGCAGCATGAAAACAGACAGACCTGTGAAACAGTACATCTGCTCAGGCAGGGGCAGAAACGAGCGACTGGAGATAAGCAGGAAGAAGAAAAGTCTGGTTTCAAAGTAAAGGCACTGCAGGGGAGACTGATGGAAGAGGGGGAGAATAATGAGAGAAGAAGGGGGGAGGGACAAAGTCGGCGGGGCTGGGGAGGAGCAGATTAGGTGAGGTGGACGGAGGGAGGCGCAGTCAGGATGAGGAGATAGAGAGATGGGGAGGCGATAAGAGCAGGGGGAGTGAAATTAAAGAGCAGGAGGCTGCAGGAGCAAAGAGAAAGTTTCTTTAATATTGGATCAATAGTTCACCTTGGATTCCTTTTGAACAAGTTGTGCTCGTTTTACTTGATGCTTCGAAACTAGCATGTTTGTGGAAAATCACTTAGTGAAATCGCAAATATTGGTTAGAAAAAGAAAATGCTGCCAAAAAAATGATACCACTTCAATAAAGGCCCTGTGTTCCTCTTTGTGCCTGGCAGACAGTCAGAGGGGCTGCAAACAAAACACAGCTTTGATAGAAAACATAATCGCGGTTTGTGAGTCGAGATTTCTGTACAGAAACTTTGKTCTGAAGTGGGAGCGGGAAACACAAGAGTCCTGTTTGGGCAGAAAGGAGAAAACGAGAGAGCGAGCTTTCAATTTGGCTTTGTGTGAGCGTGTTTCAGCAGATAAACGCTGTGTTATGTCACAAATTGCTGTTGGCTTGTGGACATGTAGCGCGGTGATTTATCAGAGCTGCAGCTGGGAAACAACCAAAAAAAATGCTGATGAAGGCAGCGAGGGCGAATCAAAACGTTTCAGGAAGTAAAAGTTTAAAAACTTTTTCTTTTTTTTTTAATGGCAGGAACACTTGTGTGTGTGTTTGTGTGTGAGATATTTACAGAGATGGTGTCCCGGGAGCCATCGGGCCTGTACGTCCAGGAGAAGGTGACGTCCTCTGAGATCCAGCGCCAGGAGAAGAACGAGCAGGACAGTCGGATGTCGGAGCCCACCAGGGCGTGGCGCTCCCAGCCGGTGTAAATGGTTATGGCCTGGGACTGCTCAGGCACTGCGAGACACAAACTCTTAAAGTTAAAAATCCAAACGTGGTGCATTCAYGTCACGTCTCTCTCTCACACACACACACACAATCCAAGCAGGAGTCGTCAGAACTAGAATGCAAGTTTGCAAACAAAAGCGTTTGCAGATCGGCCTAATGAGTGGGCAGAAAAAAGGGAGTCTGTTTGAACAGTTCTGGTGCAAATACTTTWGTGTGGACACGCGCTGATCCTCAGATTACTGCGGTTTCTGGGTCGTTTTAATTGGCATTCAACAACATTCGCTCTATTGAGATCTATAACGCAAATCCCAAATAATTACATAAGCATCCAGATTGACTAACTGTACATTTAGTGGTGTCAAAGCCACATCGATTCACACAGATGCTCAGTAATTACTGAAATCTGGATGAGTCTCTAAAAGTCAAAGGGGAATATTATTTTCTCCATTAATATGGGGAACGTAACCGCCTGCACTGTTTATGCTCCAATAATATTTAATGATCAATTATAATTTGGTTTTAACTAAAAAAAAAAATCTATATTTTACTTTTCTTGAYCCCCCCTTCCCCATAGCATCTCAGACAAATCCAAAGTGGACCACATGTGGATGAGCCTCTGCAGGTCACGGCGCCCTCAAACCGAGCCTCTCTTTAAAAAAAAAACACCCACCCACACGTGGACAAGTTCACAGCTTTCACTCGTGAGCATCCTTCCAGCGATCGAGCCGAGCCCCCCGCGCACAGCTTGTCAATGAAATCACGCTTGACATTTTTAATTAAAATCCTGACACAAATATCTACAAATACGTGACAGGAGGGGAGGAGTGGGAGAGGAAAAAAAACGACTGTTTGACAGCAAAACCTCCGTTTGAAAGTCATAATATTAGAGCTGGCTTTACTTTTCGAGTTCTGAGACACCTGCTTCATGGGAAAAAAAAAAACAACAGATTAGATGCTGTGTCCATTTATGACACTGTGAGCAACAGAATCCACTGCAGGTGTGCACCTGGCCTTTTATATGAAATCAATGCAGCAAATGTCAAGCAGCAATTAAATGCTTTAGTTAAGTATAAACCCGGTGCAGAGGGGGGGGTTTAATTCAGCTCCAAAGCTTACATCCCTCTTTATGTTCAGCACTCATTAGGTTACAGGTAATCAAGAGGAAAAATTAAACAATCAATTCTGCACTTTTAATAAATTGAGCTCACTGTAAAACTTTTTAAACTCCTCAAACTGACAGCAAACTAAAAAGGTCTTTTTTTTTTTTTTTTACCTACTCCCAGGAGAACAACCGACGTCAACGCCAAAACCGTCAGCATGGCTTCTGGTTTCTGTGGAGCTCCCAAAAAAGATGGACGAGCGCGGCCCGGACAGGTCCCACTCTGCAGGGAGGTCTGCGCCGAAGGAAAACCTCGAAGGAAAGGAGAGCGCGACGGGTGCAGGACGCCCGGACAGACCGCTTCGAAACGGGACAACAACAGAAACCCCACTGTCCCCTGGTTTATACCCAACCACACCCCTCGTCCAGGCCTCGGCCCGACCCATCCCTCACCCTCCCCAGCACCTCCCCCTCTCTCTCTCTTTCCCCTCATTGGAACGAATTAAGACCGATTATCGTTTGAAGTGGGAGGAAAAAGGCAGGCAGGAGGCACCTGCGTCGTTACAGGAGCTGAATTAATTGGGGGAACAATGGGCAACTTGGGGCGAATTTGCGAACTCTGCGCAGCATTACAGCATGATGAATGCAACGTGTTAGATTAAAGCCTCATCCATCKTGTGATTGAGATGAGAGGGGATGATTATCATGTGAGTGTGTGTGAGACCCCCGCGTGTCATCACTGCTCAAACACCACATTAGGAAACGAGGATTGCGTTCACAGTGAGGATGAAGGAGATCCTGCACAGAGGYCAGCTCAGAGCGTTGCACTTTCACCGTCCTTAAGGCCAGCGGCCCAAAACAAAGCCCCGACTCTTCGCTCCCTGCCCTCCTTCTCTTCAGATTCCTGTCCTTTCTCTGGCGTCCAGCTCTCTGAGACAATGGGGCGAGAGGGGGACAGGGGCTGACTCGTGTTCGCTCGGCTGTCAATGGCGCTTTCTTCGTCTCGTTCTGCGCTCTCCTCGGCCTCGTTGCCTCCTCTTGTTAAGACAAAGCAGTGCATTCAGGGCGCGGCGCCCACTTCTCGCTGTGCAGCAACACAGACAGAGACCAGGGAGAGCCCRTGTATACAGCTGGGTTGATACGAGGACAAGACAAGATGCAACGATTCGAGATCAAAGCAGCCGCAGAAGGTTCTGATCTGGTTAAAGTGTTAAGTGTTTGACCTTAATTAGCATTTCACATGCCTTCAAGCTTTTCATCAGTCATTCAGCTTATTTAAAGAACATGTTGCTGCAGCTTACCGTTGTGTGAGCACTCTGAGCATGAAGCAGAGAAACCAAAGGTGAGCTCAGACTCAAGATTATAGCCATAAACCCATCTCCAATCAGCTTTCCTGTCACAGCAGAAGCAAATATTATTCAAATCCATAATGTTCTGGAACTGTGGTCCACCTCTCAGGGTGTGGCTGCAAAAAGAAATGCGACCCCGGGTTCAGTTCAATTCAATTCACTTTATTTATATAGCGCCAAGTCTCAACAAATATCATCTCAGGGCACTGTGCACAAAAAACGATCTAAAGAAGCCAGCTTCGTCACAGCCTCCCATCCTGAGCAGCACACTGGTGACGGTGGAGAGGAAAAAAACTCCCTTTGAACAGGAAGAAACCTCCAGCAGAACCAGAACTAGGCTCAGGACGGGCGGCCATCTGCCTCAACCGGCTGGGTTTGAGGACTAGAAAACAAACATGTAGAGAAAAGAGACTAAAAACAACAGCAGAGTGAGGAAATGTGCTCAGTTTGTGCTCCAGCAGTCTAAGTC